GTTAACTAAGTAGTGGTGCCTTGACTCTAATGGTTTCAGAGGATGCGCACATTTTACACAAAGTCGTTCCTTAGGAAGTCCCAGCTGTAAGTGAGCGAGGCATGATCTCCAAGTACTGATGCACTGCTACTGATGAGGACGATTATGCTTAGGATCAAAGCGAATGACGGAACGGAAAGCTGGATGCCGTTATGACAGTGGATTAAGCATGAGATTAGTCGCACGGGGCTGGGTAGTAAACGGGGATACTCTCAAATTAGAAACAGGGGGGTTGTCCGTTTAATGAGATCAACTCTTGACCTGTCCATGCAGCCCAAGAAGCCAAATGAGGAACGTGAATACAAGAACTTTGACCTCTGATGGGAAAAATGTCAGGAACGCCGACAAGTCTCTTTTTAAGAGGTTGCACTGAGGATGTTCCTCAACCTGAGCGAAAAAAGCTTCTGCGGCCAAAATATTTAGCTTGGAGAATAATCAAATTAAGCGTCTAGCACTGTCGCAAAATGAAATCAAGCGTCGGGAGGCCGAGGAAGAACTCGGAAACAAATGTCCGGGAGATGAAACAAGCATGTGAAACGCAGACAACAGTTTAGTTACAAAAGCGCTTTTCGGTCAAGCCAGAGAAGAGTCAGCACGCCATGAAATCAAAGAGGGAGGAAGGAGGTGCAATCAGAGGCACAGAACTTTCATGGGTGCGTGAGAAACTGTAACGGTCATGTCTATGCTCATTTGTGGTCGAAATTAAGACAAAAGCATTCGTGGTGCTTCACAGCTCCATAGCAGGTCCTAAAGTCTTGGCAATATTTTGAAATAGGTCCACGAAGCAGAATAGTAACACATGAACTAGCACAGGAATCCCGTAGATAAGGGTGTGGTGAATGGAATAAGGTCGCAAAGTTACTGGTTCGGCCACAGTACACAAACAGACAAAAACGCACTCCATCTGGAACATCAGTGGCAACTAAACTGGTACACAAAAATAAAAGCTAGAAGACATATATATTGATCAAACCACTAAGGTGAACTGCGCCTTGTACTGTCAAGGGGTACGCCGTTTATTTATTTATTTATTTATGGACAAGGCGGACGTCAAAGGCCACGCACAGGGCGGACACGGTTGAACATACATACTAGCGTTCGAAACGTGTCCATGGCATATGCGAAATTGCCAAACAAGCTAACGGTCAGATTTTCGCGCTCTATCATTGTAACCATCATCATCTGATACAAGTGAGAAACCCAGCTTGCATTCCGTTCGTTCACTTCTTTGCACATACCTGCGAATTTGGCGATTTGTACGTTTTCTCTCATCTTCATGCTACGCTACAGCACTGTGCCTACCTTATCTAAATTTGCTTTGCTTTGTGTTTGCCCAGTCCTCATCTGCCACACACACTTGCCGAACAAGTCCATCGACATCCCTTAACCCCTGTGCAAATAGCCCACATCACTGGATGCGGTTATGTGGTGATATTTAAACGCCCCCTAGTGACTTCGCGTCATGACGCTGGCCTTTGAGTTTTGTGGGTGCACACTCACAAGCACGTAATTCGCATCTTAATTGCGTATCTTTTAAACATTAGATTGCCTGTGAATTAAATGGACAATGTTGAGGTTCGTCGTCATTTGGTTTTTAGTATGCATTGGATCTCACCCCGGTTCACTTCCGGCTGTTTGGATTTTACCCGGGAGCTATAAGTGTTTTACAGGATGCCAAGCGAATTTGTAGCCCACAAGTATTGTAACTTACAACGGTGGCTACGACACATCCGATCTCCCGTCGCCAGTTCAAACTTAGGTAATTCCTGGGTACGTTAAACTGTGGCGTCATCGCCTACGGGACACGTTCCATGTGTGACTCACCCACCATGGGATTCTTCGGTAGTCGTCTAGGTCACACTCCCGGGTTGACTGTTTGATGTAAAGGTATGCAGAGTCTGCGTCGGGTCTCCTGGAATGTTTGGTTACCGCCACCTCATCGTAATATCATTTTGCAATAGTGGTGCCAACACCCGTGATACACTAGCCATGTGTGCACCAATATTAGCGGACACAAAACCCCCACTTACATCATTTTTAAGCCAACAACTTTCACCTACTCCATATTTTAATCCTCTCCTGCTAGGGGTTGACAAACCTTATCTCTGTGACCATTAATGTTATATTCCCAGGCTGAGAGGAATTGACTGTATTAGCCGAAATAGATGGAGGAGCTTACCAACTCTTGAATCACACAAGTGAATCGTGGTTATGGCCAGTGTAAACTAGTAGCGCTGGATATACACAACAGCAACCAAGTGTCTGGGTTGTAAGTAGTATTTAAGTAAAAATCCTCCCATGACTAAATGCTGTAACATACGTAACAAACATTTTGGCAGTCTCTATGTCACGTAACGCATGTTACGTCTTAATGCTCTCCATCGTTCGTCAGTAGGACAAGGTTCTCAAGGTACTTGATTGCCACGTAAGTTCTTTCTATGACTAGTGCATCCAAAATGTTCTGTACTGCCTTATCGTTATTACGTTCTACTGGGCAGCTCAGATAGTCCACCACCTTGGTGTGGTTCTCAACAAACCCTACGAGCACGCCATATACACCATTGCTGCCCATGTTCACAACAGAGTTAAATAATCTCCACTTATGGAATCGTGTCGGAGCATAAACACTTAAGCCTTTCGAGTTTATTCCTCATTTCAAACCAACACTAGAAGTGTACCATAAGTGAACGAAAATCGCGTTATTTCTGAGCTCAGCCGTGGGCATTTGGAGCGAAACTGCGTTTCGGTCGAAATAAGATGTACCTGTTTATTTCCAGTTTGTTCTGATGCTGTACTATCAAACGCCCACGGTAACAAGCGTGTGGCTATTTAACGTTTGTGCATTCTGTATGCAAATTTCGTTCGTTCACGAAAAAAGATAAAAGTGCATGTAAAAGTAGATATACCAGCCTTGGGTTCAGGTTCTTCTGAATTGGATAAATAAAGAAACAAATCTTTATATATATATATATATATATATATATATATATGCTCATTACATATGCTCATTAATTTAAGGTTTGTGTTACCATTTCCTTATGCATTACTCGCTTTACTTTCTTTGCTATCTTTCTCTCAAGTGATTGGCTGTTGCTTGATATCCCCGGTGAGGCTGCGCTTGATGGGCACATTGACTAGGCCCCTACCTGTCTACGCCCAACTATCTTGTCCATCCTGGCTCCAGTTGACAGTCCGTCGTTGCTAGAGGGGACGGAGTGCACGGACTTGTGACCATGTTAAGCTCGAAGAGTGGTTCCATGCACTCAGTGTGGAGCGGACTACGGTCCAGCCACCGCCTTGTGTGCGCTTGATTCCCCAAATACAGCGTGCTTGTGTTTGCCTGTGAAGGAGTGTGGGCAGGCTCCGTTGATGAAACGTGGCTCCCATCCACATGCATCCCGGTCTTATTCCTTCGGGTTTACACTGGATATGGGTGTGTGGTTGGAGCTGTGGGTGGTGGGGCGCAAGCCATCCATGGTCCCTCTGTAGGCGCAGGCGTCCTGTGGCTTGCCACAGTGACAGGCAAATCCGAAACCGGATGTCGCCAACCATGTATGTATGTACTTCTTTCATTCTACTTTATTTGCTTTGTTCTGCCAACCTGAATAATCGTCTATTAAGTTGCACTCGTTGTTTACACTACTTGTGGTTATCTTGCTTAACTTTATTGCATTTGTAGCATTTTTTGTGTAACTTCTGGACATTTCGTACTTATCACTGTTTCGTTTCTAACCAAATTACATCATATGCTAATTTAGCGAAGAGTTATGTCACCGCGTCTATATGCATTTTCGAGTTGGTTTATTTCCTCTTGTTGTTTCAAGTGATTGGATGTTGTTTGACATCCCCGATGTGGTTGCGCTTGATGTGCACGTTCACTAAGCATCTACCTGTCTATGCCCAACTATCTCGTCCATACTGGCTCCAACAGACAGTCGAGATGGGGTGCACGGTCCTTGTAACCGCGCTATGCTCGAAGAGTGGTTCCATGCAGTCAGTGTGGAGCGGGCCACGGTCCAGCCACCGCATTGTGTGCGCTTCATTCCCTAAATACCATGTGCTTGTGTTTGCTTGTGAAGGAGTGTGGGCCGGCTCCGTTGATGAAACGTGGCTCCCATCCACATGCCTCCCGGTCTTATTTCTTCAGGTTTACACTGCAAGTGGGGTGTGTGATTGGACCTGTGAGTGGTGGAGCGCAAGCCACCCATGATCCCTCTGTAGACGCAGGCGTCCTGTGGTTGGTCACAGTGACAAGCAAATCCAAACTTGGATGTCATTAACCATATATGCCACATTTGTCGACGGTGAGTGGCACAGTCCAACTATGTGGTATGCTCAATGTATATATATCGCATCACAGCTGCGCAAATGGACTTAGACAAATTCGCTGAATTCATTAAGCTTACCTTTTTATGTTTAAATTTCCATGGCCTTGGTGTACACCGATCTGGGAACAACAATGGATCGAAGAAATCTTCACGCTGTTCCAACAGACCAGACCAATCTGTGATTGTCAGTAGATCGATTCTTCGTCCTTCCAGACTGTAACAGAGCAGTTCACGATGAAAGTAGATTTGCTGTTGCATGGCAGCTACGGAGGACTCGTCAAGCATGGACCTGCTGCAGATTGTCGGGCCGGTGATGTCGTCCTCTTGGGTGGTCAGCGGTGGAACTTTTTGATTTCCAAAAAGACCTTCGATCTGCGATAGCTGCTTTTGTGTCTCCGAATAGGTCCAAGGGAAACAAAACGCAAAGTACGTTGTGCTGCCGCGAGGATCCATAAACCGGTGTACGAATGACAGTATGAACTGCCCGTCCACGTAATCCCACGCCGGTTTGTCCCGAATACGTTGCCACCTGGAGTTGAAAGTGGACTGCTGTGTGCGAACAGCTAACAATGGCGTTTACCTGTGGTGAGGTGAAATCACAGACACTCTTTGCTCTGCTTGCCGGGGTTATTTGATCTCTTTTTAAATTGCACACAAGCTAGATATATGCGAATGTCGAAGTCAAATGGATTACCGAACAGTAGTAGCGACACAGATAGCATACGAATCGGAAAGTATACACTTTCAATCAAAGCAATGAACGCTAGTGTATGGAATCTACCTACTTTGCTTCTGATACACAAGAAAACGACCAGCAGCAGGGGAACATCATCACATGACTTAAATGAGAGAATGAACTGAACTAAGTGTCGGACTGTAGCTGGAAGGACAAAGTTTTGCCTTGCAATGTAAGTAGCAGGTTCGAGCTTGCTTAGGGGACCGAGCCACCCTCGCAGTACCCTTATCCTTGATGCGACTAAAGGTGATTGCATGGCAGTGAAGCGTCGGTTTACCCTACCGGCGTTTTCTTCTCTGAAGTAAATCGCGAAATGCAACGGTGCCCTAAGCATACAGTCGCATCATATCAATCGTTCGGCATTATGATCCGTCCGGCGGTGCCGTGTTAGAAGAGTAAAGATCCCATGAGCTTCATTTGACATCATGGGTCCGCCATACCATCCCCTAGTCACCCTGAATCCTTATCCACAATATGTAGCAACATAGACAAAAGTCCGTGGTCGGTAGTTATGTGCCGGTTGCTGCTAAGATTTCTTAGGGCAGTCAAGACCAAAAGGAAATCTAATATGTCACGCGAGGTGCATTAAAGGATACCAGTTATTGAATATCAACGCTGTGATAAGCGTTAGGCTTGGTAACTCGGTGGCTTAGGGTTAGAGGTTTCGGCTTGCATCCCAATGGGCCATGGTTCCAGGGCCTTCTATCTCTACCTGATGATATCAAATCTTTCAAATCCGCTGGTGGAGTGGAGTGTTTTTGGGTGGACAGCACCTAATATTCATCTACGTTGCACATTTTGTGCTCCAACAGGATGCTCGTACTTCTTTGAAAAGCCGGTTTTAAAAACGAAATCTATCAACACTAATGTATGGCGTCTCATTTAACTTGGTTGCTTATGGTAACGCTGCAACGATGTACACTGTGCTGCTATTGTCGATACATTGCTATCTACTTACTTCCAAGGAGGTTTAAGGATCAGTAAAGTGATACGGTCTCCGGTGATGGGCCCAGTAACCTCCCCAAAGCTTTGGGTGGCAGTATCTTCCACCAATACATGCAGAAGGGAAAAAAACACAAAGGACGATTCAGACCAACGCTTGTCGACGGATGATAGGCGGCGTCAAATATGTCTTATTTTGATTCCAGTTTGCGCAGACCAAATGAGTTGTTCGTAACCCTGGTTTTGGAAGTTATAAAAAACCAGTTATCGGGTTTTGGGTAGTTACTTTACAGTCTGTACAAGTTTCGAAAGGTTTGGCAAATGAATTAGTGATGTTGCCCGAAATTCACAACGGAAGCAAGTCTGAAGGTAGTGAGGATCTTTTTGTGCAATCCTGCAGACACTCCCCATGCATTGTGCAAGCTGAATTGTCAGAAAGGATAATCACAATGCCATCGAACACAACTCCAAGCGACACTCATAGAATATCGCTAAAAATGGCTAGGAGCCGACCATACAACAGTCGTCACAACCTATCATCCTATCCACAAGTGTCTCAGATCGTTGTTGAGAACCGAAACACTTTCCTGAATGTACACGAATGCTCAAGGCCTCCTAAGCAAACCCGCCGAGCTTCGGGTGTGTCAGGTGACCGCTTGGGTTCTCATCTCCATAACCGAGACTTGGATGCACTCAGAGATTACGGATGCCGAGATCGCGATGCAGGGTATGTTCTTCTTCCTACACGATTGTAACAGCAGGGTTTGGTGCCATCTTATACCATCGTAACAAAGCTTGGTGCGCTTTTGATAAACTTCGCTACTTATGGCGTCGGCCCGACATCACTCTTGCCCTGAAGGGTAGAGTGTACAATGCAGCGGTATGTTCGACCTTACTGTACGGTTGCGAAACCTGGCTTCTTAAAGCAACGGACCTGAAGAGGCTAGTTACGTTCGACCACCGGTGCCTTCGCAGTTTGGCTCACATCTGGTGGGAACACCGTGTTAGCAACGAGCATGTTCGACGCCTTGTTTACGGTGCACGAAAAGGAACTGAATCGCTCAGCACCGTTATTTCACGCACCAGGCTCCGATGGCTCGGCCACGTGTTAGGCTTGTCAGCCTACCAACTCCCGCGACGTGCGTTGTTTGCGCGCCTGGGGGTGTGGATGGAAGAAGAGGAGGGGTGGCCAAGCGATGACTTGGTAGAGAGGAATGAAGGCCGTCACTTCTGAGTTGGCCTCGGTTGGAGCGTCTCGGCTCCCTGGTTGGGGTCCGAAAGACGTTGAACACGTTTGGTTAGACACACTTGTTGATATGGCTAGGAGCCGACAACAATTGTGTTCGTGCTGTGAGTTTCTTTGTCTCACCCCGCCCCTCTTAGGCTCCCCCTCCAAACATGATCTTATTATTTAGCGTTATATAATTTTGCATAGTAATTTTTTGATGCACACGGCTGGTAGCTTACCGGAACGATGCCCATCCGTTACCGGTAGCTCAGCCGGTTTGCAACAGTTGTTTTTCTTCTCCTTTATTCTGTGTATTGCGGCACAGTAGCTGAGTTGTTCCCCACCTCTAGCTAACGTGGATGATGGTGATGATGATACTATGTTAACGACTTAGAAAGCGAACCACTGGATGATCAGGAGACGCGGGTCACCGATTCCCTATGGTGCAACTTTTGTCTCAGACACAATGACAACTGCTTCGTGGCAGTCGTATAGGGCTCCCCACCCTCCACTTTAGAGATGGATTTCCACCTAATATCATTACTGAGGTAATGCTTACTCCCAAGTTCCAGCCACGCGCTTATTTCAGGCAGTTTCAACGTGCTCGACTTGGAAAGCTCGGCATCCCCCATCGAAACATACAAGGCCGAACTTCAAGACCTTATGGCAAGTATTCCGCTCTACAAGCGCATCACCTCATCTACCAGGTACAAAACTGATAACATTGGTACTTGACCTCGTACTTACAAATGAAGAACTCATGATCGATGGGCTATTTATAGATACCCCACTGGGGTTAAGCAATCATGTAACCATACTTTATAACTTTGTGTGTTATGCTGAATATCCTTAGGAACACACAGAACTAACACGTTCTATCACAGATTACAACATCTTGAACAACCTAGTTGAGACGACCGATTGGGAGTTCTTGAAATTTGGCTTGTAGCGCTTGTAAATTTACTTATCTTTCATTGTACATTCCTTTCCTATTACAACCCATTCTTGTACATTAACCTTGTACACTTGTTTTGATTGATAAATAACACACTTTTTGAACCACGCGGGCAACTCGACGTGTTCTCTCTGTGTTCTTGTGTCGCGGATTTTATGGCATTGTCGATCACTACGTTCTAACCTCGAGCAATATTCATCTACAGATCTCGTTCCGTCTCAACTGGTTTCACCATCCTCGTCGTTGCAATCCATCGGAGTGGCTGACGCAAGAGGACTAGGAAATTTTATGTGGTTGGACTTCTAACCCACGTCGAACCCTTCTGTGAGTCTTGTCATTTTTGATCATCATTTATTCATCTTTATTTCTCTTTGGGTCCGAGTCCACTACATAATTGGTGACCCCGAATTTTTTCTTAGTACTTCATTTTTTGTAAGCTCAGAACTCCCAATATTTTTTTTGCACGACTACTATGGAATCCAAACCTAGTATGAGTACGGTTCCCTGTGAAAACCACATTTCCTTTAATTTACCTGCCTTTGGTGCATCTAATCCTCGTGTTTGGTTCACGCAAATCGAGGCATATTTCCGTTTCCGTAGGATTACTACACAAGAGACTATGTTTTCCTATGTAGCTACTCAGCTCCCTACGGATATTGCCACTGAGGTGATCGACGTCCTAGACCCCATGCCAACAGAATTTCCGTACGATACCCTTAAAGCCGCTGTGTTAAAACGCACAACCGCTTCTGACGAGTCTCGCTTAAAGCAACTCCTATCTGGTGTTGAACTTGGCGACCGCTCCCCATCACAGCTATTGCGACACATGAGAACTTTAGTTGGTAGCTACAAAGTTGATGACTCAGTCCTGCGCCAACTTTGGACTAAATGTCTACCACCTAATACCGTCCTGATTTTGTCCGTCCAAGGTGATGAAATTTCGCTTGATAAGTTAGCTGAACTAGCCGACAAGGTGCATGAATGCTTTTTCAAGCATCCCATTAATCAGGTCTCGCAGCCTACTAACGCGTTTGAAAGTACGTCTGTAATGGATAGGCTGCAGAACCAGATTGAACAGCTAACTGCCCAAGTTTCCCTCATCACCAAACGTCTTAACCGCCGTCGAAGTGTATCACCTGGCCGAAACACACGTGCTCTACCCTCCAACCGTGACCAACTGAATCGTCTCTGTTATTTTCACAAACGATTTGGGGATGCTGCACGGAACTGTAGGCCGTGGTGTTCGCACCCTAAAGCCTTTCGCTTACAGAACCAACAGGGAAACTCGCTGGCCAGCCAGTAATGGCGACAGCTGCCGCTGGCCAACACCATAGTCGCCTTCTCCACGTGTTTGACAACTCAACCGGCTACCGTTTTCTCGTCGACACGGGTGCCGAAGTTAGCGTCATACCCGTAGGTACACAAAAACGCCAACTTTCTCCGGGGCATGTCACACTCCAGGCGGCCAATGGTACGAAAATTCAAACGTACGGTCAGAAACTGTTAACCCTAGATCTGGGACTCCGACGTCGACTACCTTGGCTTTTCTTAATCGCCGACGTTCAGAAGCCCATTCTTGGCATCGATTTCTTGACGAAGTTTGGCATCATCGTTGATCTCGGAAACAGGAAACTCCGTGATAGCGTCACCTCACTTACTGTCTCCGGCAAAGTCCTCGCTATCGACTCGATTGGCATTCGTTTGGCTCTGCCTTCCGAC